GGCCCTACCCTTTGCCGTAACGGACCCATCATTTTCCAATTTAGCCCCATCAATTGCCAATATGGCCCCACAGACCAAAACGACTCTCATGTCCGGGTTTGTTTTGGCCCCACATATAGGGGCCGCTTTTGATCAACACTTTGGCCCCTATGAGCTTCGTTTCGGCTCTCCATCGCGGAACGACTCTCGCATAGGTCAAATCGACCCTGGAATGAAATCGGCCCTTTTGTCGAAACGACCCTTCTGTCAAATCGACTCTTAAATGTGTCAAATCAACCCTTCTGTCAAATCGACTCTTAAATGTGTCAAATCGACCCTTCTGTCAAATCGACTCTTAATTGTGTCAAATTGACCCTTTTGTCAAATCGACTCTTAAATGTGTCAAATCAACCCTTCTGTCAAACCGACTCGTAAATGTGTCAATTCGACTCTTCTGTCAAATCGACTCTTAATTGTGTCAAATCGACTATTAATATTGTGTCAAATCGACCCTTCCGTCAAATCGACTCTTAATTGTGTCGATCGTCCGTCGTATGATCGTATCAAATTAACTTCCGCATAAAACTTAAAGAATGCACATGCTCGCAAAGAAAAAGAAGAGGACGTTTTTTGGATTAATTTATACAAGGTGAGATTTGATGTTTCATTTTGTAGGGTATTGAAATTTGTTTTCCAGATTTTTAGTAATTTTATCGTAAATATAAATACGGTATTTGTAAAAATTAATCACGAGAATTGAAGCCTAGGTGTAATATTAATGATCGCGGGAACTGGGAACGAAAAAATGCACGCGCCCGTAAGCAATCGGGTTTGCGATCATTCTCGAGCATGCGTACTAACTTTTGGCGCCGTTGGGATTTGCTTCGACGAGGGATACGGATAAAATAGACATGCGGCTAAATCGAGGAATGCACATTTGCCCGACGCCATCTTGAATCATTATTAACTGGGGACATCCGTGGTTATCTTATGATAATAATGAATTAGTAAAATGGTTATCCATTAAAGTGCTCCTGTATCCCTTGTCTACATCCGTAGCTTATTTCTATTGTCAGCTGGGCGGTAAACACGCAATAAAAAGTTTTCTTTAAATTAACTAGAGATATTTACTATGAAAAGATGCTGATTTTTATGGCGAATTCAATGGTGTTCTCCGATTTTCCATCTACTCTGTACACAAATTCCTATATTAGGGTAAAGACTCGAGTTTTAAAGTATTAAAGGGCGAATATCTCGGTTCAGTTTTTGAATGAAAAAGGAAAACTAGGGCTATTGATACAGAATTTCATGCAGAATCGAAGGGTAGTTTCGGAATTTCCATCTACCGTGCACACAACTATGTGCTCACTATACGAAAGTAAATTTGCGTGCCAGAGACTAAGTGTCGATTAATGCATACAAATCACTGTGAAAAATGTCGATACGCGAAATGCTGTTATTTTGTATTTTCGACCGGTTTATTTAACTTTATATGAAATCAAAAGCTAAAATCAGTCATTATAATATGATTATTTATGATTTAAAAGCATCAAAAGTGTATTTATTGTGATTTTTGCTGCTGTAAACTAGCTTTATTTATATACATATAACAATTTAGTATTTAGGCATGTGCGAGCGACAATTATCCAATCAGAATCCAATATTTTCATTTTCCCGCGAATACGTTTGTTTTGATTACATCATTCATGATAGATACTATGACATCATAACTGAGACCCAGGTCATTGCGCGGAATTCAAGATGGCGTCGGGCAAATGTGCATTCCTCGATTTAGCCGCTAGTATAAAATAGAAGCGTAAAACCTCGTTTGTTGCAGTATATTCTGGACAAATAAACAATTTATTAGGAAAATACGTTCAAGAAACGTCTCGTGCTGTACTAGCCTAATTCTGGCAAATGTTATTTACTTTCTTCACCTTCGTGTCGACGACTGTTGTTTGCTGATGGCCAAATCACGACAGTGGTCAGTGGATATCAATTATTCAAAATATGTTCTTATAGCTTCATGTTTACGATACGAAACACGTTTTAATGTAAGATTATTTATTTTTTTTATATGTAGGTTCTAGTTGAAAGTGACAGCGACGATGAAAAAAGTGCACACAACAATGAAATATCCAGTTCACTACTAGCTCGAATCCTGCGACATATCACTTGCTAGTAGCCCAGTCTAGTTTAACTTTGCCCAATGAAGAATCATCTCCTGAATCAGGCATACTGGCAACACTGGTTCATTTGATAATGTAAGTTTTTAAACTGGTATTTTAGATTATGGCCTCGGTCAAATGAGGATGAAAGTCATGCATGAATTGCTTATAAATACACAAAGGACATTTCAAGTTCCACATGAACAAAATATTATTAAAGCTTTGATGAGTGTTCCAACTATGTTTCAACTTAATTAAAATACTCTCATCCTCGCTTGATCCATAATTATTTGTTGATTTTACTCGATACTAAATAGTGAAACATCGAATCCAGATAAAATCTTATGCAGAACCCACTGTAATTCCGAGCTGTAATCACATAATTATATAAAAGTCGTTTCAGTAGCAGCAAAAGCCAAACTAAACACCAACTAGGATTAATAGGTTTAGCTTTTAGGCCGAGAATAATACACGATTGACAATTTTGTGGCTGATTGATTTAATAGTATACTGTATATTGATCTGGTTGCTGTATACAGGACATCTGACTTACATGTCAAATTAATAGTCAAATCTATGATTATATTGAGCATGGCAGATTTGACATTTGAAACATTGTTGATGTTAATAACCCAATGAGTCGCATTGCGCCCTGATGCGCACTAAGTATTTATTGTTTTACTCTGGTTATCTAACGCTAGGCAATTTTACTCATCAAGGGGAGAGCACTGGCGGTTAATGTGTTAACTAGCCTATCTGCCCATGTTTACAGTTAACCCATTGAGTCGCATTGTGCCCTAATGCGGCCTAATTTATTATTTTACTCTGCCTATCGCAGGACAATTTTACTCATTAAGGCAGAGCGCTGGCACTTAATGTGTTAACTGGCCTATCTGCCCATGTGTCTAGTTAACCCATTGAGTCGCATTGCGCCCTAATTTATTATTTTACTCTTTCTAACGCCAGATAATTTCACTCATTAAGGGGAGAGCACTGGTACTTAATGGGTTAACTGGCCTATCTGCCCATGTGTGTAATTGTTAACACATTGAGTCGCATTGTGCCCTAATTTATTATTTTACTCTGTCTAACACCAGGGGCCGGTTGTATAAAAAGGTGATTAAAGTTAACTATAGTTAGTGGAAACGTCATCCAATAAGAAGCGCGTATTTGAGAGTTAATCACTATTTAACTACAAAATAGTGATTAAAAAGTGATTAAGAGTTTTATACAACCGGCCCCAGATGATTTTACTCGTCAAGGTAAGGGCGCTGGTGCTTAATTTTAATGGGTTAACTGGCCTATTTGCCCATGTTTATAGTTCACCCATTGAGTTGCATTGCAGCCTACTTTATTTTTTTTACTCTGTCTCGAGAGGAGAATGCTGGTGGTGAATCCCCATTAACCACCAGCATTCTCCTTAATATTGAAAATATAGATCAACATTTGTCAAAACTCATGACTTGTGCAATCATTTCTCTAATAATTAAGATATTAAAATACCAAATATAATGCCTTATGGCTTATTTTAAATAGGGAGATGCTATGTGACTATGTCCATTGAAACTTAGTGGATTTGTTGTAGCTACATCAAATAAATGCTAGCCAAAAACATATTCAAGTCAATCGAAGAGAATGTAGAATTGCACTTTACATAAAATTCCCTAGTTATTGTACATTAATGAAAAGCATTTGAAATGGAAATATATTGTTTTAATTTTATTTCTATGGTTTGTACTATGATATACATGGGCTATACACTCTTTGGGAACCCGCAGGGCTGTTGGCAGAGCATTTCCATGATCTGGAACTTCAGTCCTAAACACGATGTGTGGGTGCGAAGGTGTTGTGTAGGAACAGAACTGTACAGATTAGAAATATGATTACTGATATGTTCCAAAGAAAAACTATTAATATATAGAAGAGGAAAGAAAGAGGCAATAAATAGCCCAAAGTATCTGTTGTACATTTGAAATTTTAAAATGGTAGGCTTATTAAGCATGAGATACAGAGAAAAACAGTAATGCAGAACTACATTCTCTTAAATTGTCAAAATTAAACGCTACCAGTCTTGGTTTCGTTTCAAACTTGAATAACGAAAAGTCTAAAAATATAGAAACTATAAGAACAGATCAGCTAAGTCCAGTTATAAAATTAAATGATGAAGGAAAGTTGTCATTTTAGGAAAGTATTGTTTTGGGGTGTGTGAACTCATGAGGTTACATGTTTCTGGTGAATCTGCTTGCTGCAGCAAAAATTTATTAATCATTTGTGACATAATTCACAAGATGTCTATTTTAACCTGTGGGTTGCCAAACTTCTTAAATATGGAATTTGTTTTGTCTGACCAAGATATAATGAATACCACTAGTGACATGAGTATGTCCAATTAATATTTAACTAGAAATAAATGCATGCAGCAACCCCTAGCCTATATTTTTCAAACATTGATTTAACATGAACTATTAGCAATTGGCCAGCACTGAACACAGGCTCACGTTGTGTCAAGTGTTGTCAAGGCAACATAATGTCACATTATATTTTAAATTTTTTTGAGTAATTTTGCAAGACAGTGTTCATACCACAGAATTTACCATACATAATTTTAAACTAATAGATAGGTGAAGTAATTCAAACAAAATGATTTTGAACTTTATTACTCTACTCTGTCGAACGCCTATTCTACTCGTAAAGGGGAGAGCCCTGGTGCTTAATGGGTTAAATAAGATTGTATAGTTATATGTATATCATGTATTATGTTTTACCAGGCTATGGAAATTCATGTTTCCAATTTTGTATTTATTTTTCTTATGATACAGTATACTGTAAATTTGAATAATATTTGTGTGCTTATAGTGAGCATATTTTTAGGAGAGTTTGTTGCGAGGCAGCATATATTTTGATATTTCAAAATATTACTGTATATTGGTATGTTATATTTAATGCTTTTGGAAGGGTTATAGGGGTCGGGTGTGATATACTTTTTCAGGTATTTTGTGTCTGATGTATGTAAGAGCTTTATTATTGGGTTTCTTGGTGAGACCTTATATCTTATGTGTCCTATAACCCTCTGTAATTGCGGATTATTGCATACATTCTAATTGTATTTTTTTTGTAGGAGTCCAAAGATGCAAATGATACAATTTCAAACTTATCACAACCCATATTGTGGCCGCTGGCAGCGAACTAGAATACGACTAGAAACTGTCAATCATACGTTATCGAGGGAAAGGATTAAAGTTCCATAACAAGCAACAGTTGTTTTGATGCAATTATCGCCTTATTGGCAAGTTTTTACATCTTCAATATTGAGTACTGCCACACGAAGAGCATCTTGTCTGCCTTGCAGACTATAGTAGTGCATGGCCAACACAGAAAATGGCATACAACTGCCAATAGTGAGTTTAAGCAAGTGACGTTTTTGACAACACGGACGTCGACCGGAGGTAAAGTTGACGTTGCTCATGCCGTCAGTGTTGTCAAAAACGTCACTTGCTTAAGCTCACTAATGAGGGTCACAGCCCTCTTCAATGACTTGTCATGACTCATGAATATTAGTACTACAGTAATTTTACACTTTTTGAGAGTTATGTTGACATATATTAACCCAAGTTAATGTTATTGATGGAATGTGTGTATTGTCTCACATCTCACCGAACTGTGGTAATGTATTAGAAATTATTCGTATTGCGTTATGTTAACAACCGCGCCTGCTATTGCTATCACAAGTTGATTGCTCTTTAAAATTAGAATTGTAAACTTTCGGAGCCATATGGCATATATGTACGAATCTTTTGATGGTTCCCACATTTCGGTGAGATACATAATACTGACTACTGTGCATGTATATTGTAATTTTAGTTATAGTATTGTGTTTATAATACAGAAATTGGAACATTATTTATCTCAACTTATATTACAATAATTAATTCCAATCTTGGTCTGTTGGAGAAATTGTAATAAGACCAAATAAACCCCATTATTTTTGCCTGATTCATTATATACATGTAGAATACGTCTACATGCAAGAGTGCAACCAAATCATGCACATGACTTTAAATGCTATATAAAACTGCACCACCAAAAAGCTATATCAGCTCAATCGGTTCTAAAGCACCTCTTCATTGGGGCTGAGACGGCTCTCCTCTGAAAGGGCCAGAACAGCTCCGGTTAACAAAGTAGGGGTTAAATTGGCTTTTCTTTTGGATCTATAATGGCTCTGAAATTGGACCAAATTGACCCTTTGGGTGCTACAAACTACACCATGAAAAAAGCTATATTAGCTCCTTCGGCTCTAAAGCAGCTCTTCTTTGGGGCTGAAACTGTGCTCTTCTGGGAGGGCCAAAATAGCTCTGGTTAAAAAAGTAGGGGTTAAATTGGCCTTTCTTGTGGTCTATAATGGCTCGGAAATAGAACCATATTGGCCCTTTGGGTGCTAAAAAACTACACCATTAGAAAAGCTATATCGGCTCCTTCGGTTCTAAAGCAGCTCTTCATTGGGGCTGAAACTACTCTGTAACTCAGTAGCCAAAACAGCTCCGCTTAGCGAGCCAAATCAACGCTTTTTGGGGTTCATTATGACCACAAATGGGAGCCAAATTAACTCCTTGAAATGCCAAAATAGCCCCCTAATTTTCTGAATTGGCCCCTATTGAAAGTTGATATAGCCCCTGCTTTTGCCAAAACAGCTCCTACTAAAAGCTGAAACAGCCCTTACACTGGAAGGGCCAAATCAACCCTTAGGGGCCGCATTGTTATAGGTGCCATTTTGACCCCCAAAAAAGATCTATTTTGCGGTCACCGTTTTGGCCCCATTTTTGGGGTCGTTTCAGCCCTTTTTAATTTACAGTGTATAGAGAATACTATAATAAGGCTTTGTTTATCCTTTGTTGAATGCTTCATTAGTATGTACTATTTAAAACACGAGTGCTTTAAATATAAAACACGAGTGCGCAGCATGAGTGTTTTATATCTGACAAAGCACGAACTGCATGCGAGTGTTAAAAATGGCTTAAAAACGACTTGTGAGTTCATTGGCGAAGTTTAAAAATATACATTGTCTAAGCCGAGAAAATCAAAGCTAAAGTTTATGCAAATTAACATGATTAGTTCCACCGACACGGTAGTGATTTCCTTTGTGTTTTTTCCTCATGAATTATTGGTTGAGATGGTGTGAGAGGGTGCATGTGATCTGACTGCCTGAGAGGGTGTGATCATGTTCTATATGTAAGTTATCGAAGATTGTTTTAAACGGTGTTCACATTTTTCATTGCTTTTAGGGTTAGTAATAAACTAAATCATTTCCTAAATTATTGACCTGTGGAAAATTCGTAACCTACAAGAATATGCAAAATATTTTTCTGATGGTGAGTTCAGACACCATAAACGTTATCTTAAATAGGTTATTAAGAGTTTTATCGTGGGTCTATCTAGTTATGGCTCGGAAGGGGACAAAGGGTTGTTTACTTGGTTATTAATTGTAAAATATTTATCATGGCATATGTACTGGAATCGCAGGGCCGTATAGTAGGTTCGATTCCTGCCAGCTAGGGACCAATACTTGCATTTTTCGTAGCTGTTCCTAGTCAGGTCTAACGAATGTACAGTATGCTATATATAGAGAATAATACATGGGTGCTTGGAAATACCAGATTTATTTCGAGTGTTGAACATGATATCTCACGAGTGAGATATCATGTTTCAACACGAGAAATAAATCTGGTATTTCCAAGCACCACAGATTTTTCTGTTTATTATATAAACAAAATTCAGTGAAAAACAATAAAACGTCCCTGGCAATGCGTTTTACAACAAATGATATTTTCACACGTAAAACTGATATCGTATTTTTTACGTGTGTTTAAATACGATTTTTCTCAGTGGCCAAAAACTCTATATAACACTTATGTTTATATAATAAAAATTTATACTCGATAATTTCCATCTACAAAACCCTTCATTTATTTATTAACTTTACAACCTTTTATACATGAACAAATACTATAAATTAAATTTAATAATATACACATATCTATGAAGGAAAGGAATAAGGTTGAAAGTATATAGTCAACCAACAGGACAAGAATCCCATAATATTAAGACCAACCCAAGAAAGACAACAATACATAACATATTTAGAGACACAAACACACATTAACAAACTGATATATTTGAACAAATATTAACATGAAAAATGCATGAAATTAACTTTTAAAAACAGCAAGTTGGATTGCAGGAACGACACTGGGATAATAAATCTTCCTAGTGTTCCATGAGTTCAGAACAGTCTTAATCCTATTGACTATCGCTACTTTGATGGGAACAATGTCTCAATTGTTTTAGATATAGTAATAGCCATATGTGATATTACGTTATAATTCGGCTAGGTTTTAGCTATGTATTGCCATGGACCTGAAAAGCCTTTTGGAGAATTCATAATTCTTAAATTAAATTAAATTAAATTGAATTAAATTAAATATTTAATTTAATTTAATTGACGCATCCAAGGTAGATTCAAGTTTGGAAAGGTAGTGAGAATACAAATTGTTTTGTGTGTGTTGGTGTTATGTACTCAGGTGAATATGATGTTTGTGATGTTACTCTGAGTGTGCATCCACACCGGGCAAACTGAAAAGTTAACTTGGCCACGGTGGGAATCGAACCCCCGACCTTTGGGATACTAGTTCAAGGGATATCGAAGGAACTATACTTAGTTCCAAAATATCATCAACTCGAACCGACTTGACCACGTAGCTCAGTTGGCAGAGCATTGGACTAGTATCCCAAAGGTCGCGGGTTCGATTCCCACCGTGGCCAAGCTATAACTTTTCAGCTTGCCCGGTGTGGATGCACACTCAGAGTAACATCACAAACATAAATACAGATTGTTTTTGAAGGAAGAAATATAGGTACGCGCGCTGATATGAGCGGGAAGACCGTTCCAAAGAAACTGAACAATCCAGTTGAAAAACGAGTCTCTAAAAAGAGAATTTATCCAATTAAAGATTAGGAGTTAATCATCTTTGTTGGTTTGTGAGAGTGTGAGTATAGCCTGCGAACAGGCTCTCATGCTGAATTGAGAGCCTGCATCGATGACTAATGAATTTGAATATCTGCCCCGTAACGTTCGTTTTTCCAAATATGGAATGTCTATCCTTATATGGTGTTGTTTACAACTTTCGTGCAAACTAAATTTAGACCGTGCAAACTAAATTTAGACCGTACAGTTTATACTGTTTTTCAAAATATAAGATATTCAAGCAAATATTCAAATGTTTTAAATACTGTTTTCTCAAGACAGAAACATTTCGTGCTTTGAGATAAGATAGCCAAGATCAATTTGATCAGATAATGCGTTTTTTGTGCATAGTTCAGCACTTGACATATATAGAGCTCAGCGGAATAATATAAATTACTGATAAATTATAGCATCTGACCAATGAGAATTTCGCGTCACGATTTGAGACGCAGATATTCAAATTCATTAGTCATCGATGCAGGCTCTCAATTCAGCTTGAGAGCCTGTTCGCAGGCTAGTGTGAGTAAGGCGAAAGTGACTAAAGAAGAGACATCTAGATCATAAATGACCTTGCAAATAATTGAAAAAAAGAGAAGGTCCTTTACTTCCAGCCAGTAAGAATAGATATTGGAAGTAATTTGAGTGTTTTGAGACGCACAGAATAAGACAAGTCAAAGTCTTGAAGAATAAATTTAGTTGTTCGTCTCTGAACACCTTCCAGGAGAGCAAGATCGTGCGAAGAGCTTTGCGGAGCCCTTATCTCACTAACATAAATGAGATCTAAAGCCTGGCGCACACGATGCGATCGATTTTAGTCGGCCGATAAAAATCGTTTGACTAAAACTAACAAAATCGTTGTGTGTGCGGTGTCATTTTAAACCGATTTTTGTTGCTCGATTTTAATCGGACAACATCAAAACGTTTTGATATTATACGATTTTTATCGGTGGAATTTTAAGTATAACCAATCAGATTTCATGCTGTGATCACGTGCTTGTATTTATTTGGCAACATGGCGGCTACAGTTCAGGGAGCATATTTTTTTCGTAATAGTGTGCGGAGTATACCGATGTATATCGGTATGTCAAACGATTTTTATCGGCCGACTAAAATCGCATCGTGTGCGTCGGCAATGGATATCTGTCATATGGGTGCAATTATTATTCAATCGTTTCTGAAGAAGGGGCTTGCCCCGAAATGTAAATAAACTTGTTTGTACTTTTAGTGCTTAATTCATGTAATACGTTTGGCAACTTACGGTTTATTTTTTGAAACTGAAACTAACGAACATCAATCTTGATAGCGAATATATGCGCCCTGCATGCGCATAGATAATATTTTGACTGTGGGAAACCGCGCCAGTGATACACCTCATCTAATGATGTGTACACCCTGTTTGTACGTCATTGTTATTATTTACACTGCTTCCACTTCTATTTATATTCTTAAATAGCCAACGAAATCGACTGCCAACAATTATTACACTAACAAAATTACTCGTAATCAACCATTATTACAGGTTTCATTAATCAGCCGGGGGCAGTCTTAGTGTAAACTATTTCTAGTTAGCTAGTTTTAGATGACACTTTTTCCATTACAATAGAGAATATATCAGTGATAAAGACTGTCAAAACTATACCATAAGACATCGTAAATAATAACCAGTTATTCTAATTTTTTAAATTAGTACCGTGTTCGACATAGTATATTAATTTCCAGCTTGTAGAGAAATTAGCCTATTTCTGAACTGGAATATAGGGGAGAATTGTAGCCCTGACAGAAGGGGACCTTTTGTGAACATCAAAATAGGCGCCTCAGCTTGGGTGACGCACGCTTTAATAGCGGGATTAACTTAAAAGCGTTAAAACATATTATTCAAATTTTGCAATTTGCATTGGTGAAATTTGTGGAAAAATACAACTGGCTAGCGAAGTTCCGCGATAACAGTGTTCGGTGGCAAAATTTTCTCTTGTTGATGTTGTTAGGAAGCACGTAGATCCTGCAGTATAGTCATAGAATCACATTTTACTGTAAGGCGAAAACTCATTTATAGTG